ATGAAATCACAGGATTAGGGTTCATCGTGCAGCAGATAAATCAATTTACCGTTCTTGGAGTTTTTGATTGTAGAAGCTGGGTTTGAATCTTGGGTTCGATTCAAGTAAGTAAAAGATTTTCTTTTTTCAGATTATTTATTGGATAAATCTTTCTCACTGGAATTCCGGTCCATTGCACACAAAAATTTGAGAATCGGAAGTTGTCTGGGAACGATTTTGAAGCTGAGAAGAAGAAATCCAAAACTATAAAGCTTTTATTGCTTGATTTAGTAGTTCGAATGTTTGGGTTCTGTAAATTCCCAGGACCTTAGTGTTCTCAGTTGTTGTGAGCAATTTAGCTTCCATAGATTTCGTTGTATGGTTCTGAAAATTGCTTTGTATGAATTCGCGAAGTATCTGCTTAGCTTATGGATTGTGTTTTTTTTTTTTTTTGTCTTCTGCAGATTTGTGTGAAAGAGTGTAGTAGTTAAGATGTCAGTGAGAGCTAGGAGGATTGTTTCTGGTAGGTCAGAGACTGTAGCAGCTAATTACGCGTTCGATCCGTTGGAAGATGACAAAATTATACGAAACAGGCTTCTCACACGCACGACCACCACGAGAGGAGAGCCACCATTGAAGAAGCTTCAGAAGAAATTCACGTCTTTCGTTATCGAAGTAGATAAAGAAGAAGATAACTTCAACGAGTGCGGTAGGCTTGCGAAAGCTTTCTTACAGGAACTTTCCGCTTTTGAGATTCCGCTTCTTAAGAGCCAAGCGGTTGTTGCTTCGAATCTTAGGGAGAAAGAGAACTTTAACGAGCTTAAAGATGAGACGAATAGGCAGATAATGCAGGCTCAAGCTGATATAGAAGATCTTAAGAAACAGCTTGAAGAGAGTAAAATAGAGAGACAGCATAAAGAGGAGTGTGAAGCGATTAGGAAACTTATCTCTGCGCAACCACCGAGGTCAGAGACACAGAAGGTTATACATGAATTGAAGAAGGAGATTGCAGAACTGGAGGCTGAGAATACAGCAAGTTGGAGACTTCTTGAGCTGAGGAAGAAGCAGTTTGCTTTGTTGTTGCATGTGGTATGTCGATTTCACGGGTTTCATTTTGTTTTTTAGCTAAAATTCTAAACATTTTTTTTGCTTCCCTCTTGTTTCATTGTGTTTATAGCAAGCTAAAGTTCTAAACTTTTTCTTTGGGTGGTTTTGTGAAAACTTTTTATCCACAGGTGGATGAGTTGCAGGAGACAATGGAGGATGAACAGAAGAGTATGGTGGAGGAAATGCAGAGGAACGTTAGCGAGGAAACAACTGCTGGTGGCGCTGAAGCCATGTCCATCAATTAGCTCCTAATCTTAGCTACTTTGTCTTTTCCTGAATGCTAAGAGACCTTCATTGCCAAGACTCCGTTTAATCTATTGCCGGTTTCTGGTTACTTCTTAACCGAAATTGCAATGATATGTCACACTTTGCGGTTGTAAAACTCGTGTTTCGGGTGAGGAATGGTGGAAAAGAACGGATATGTTTCTTTTTGAGTTGCAGATTCAAAAAGTTTATGTAAAAAATGGCAGATTTTCTCAAGCTTTTGAGTACTTATGGAAACAGCTCTTTTTGACCTTTATGAATTTGAACCGGTGAGGGTGAATTTTGTTTTTAAACAGTTGATTTACACTGATCCGAATCTGATGAAGTTGAAACCGGTTTAGAAACTACTGAATAGTACTGATTATATTACCAACGTTGGTTAAATCTGCAACATAAACCGGTCCCGAATTATTCTGATCAGGATTTATTCACGTACCAACGGGTTTGCTTTTAAACCGGAGTAGTATATATATACACGTATATCCTCTCTCTCTCTGGTTTACGCACAATCGTCCTCCACCGGAGTTTCCCATCGTCTCCGCCTTTTGTCGCTGTTTCTACGGGTTTCTACGGCGAGCGTGCGATCGTCCGGCCTTTACTGTTAGCCGCCGCCTTTCTGGCTTGAAGCGATTTCTTCTCACTTTTTTCGCAATTATTAGGCTTCTCAAGCTGCTTATTCGGCCGTGTAGCCTCGCAATTGACCTCTAAACCCTCATAATTTTTCTCCTTCAATTCTGAGCGTTGTCAACATTATTCTTCCGTGGATCCGAATATCTCAGTACTTCCCAGTAAAGGCTTGATTTCGAGGTAATTCGAATCAGATTTTGATGCACTTTTTTGTTTGTTTCTTGATATTTCTGTTCGGACGTTTGCGCTTTGTTTCCCATGAACCTCGTATCGCTTGGCCTTGTTCCTTTTTCTGTTTATTCTCCGGATTCAGACTTCGTGCTGTAACACTGAATTGGGATTTGATTGTTCTCAATGATAATGAATCCTTCTTAGGTTAGGGTTTTACTCGTTTTATTTTGTTTCGTTTGGGAGGTTGGGCAACGATTTTCTATACAAATTCTTGACCAGTTGAAAAACCGAATTTTGTCAATAGAGGCGTCTGAATAATTCATAGGTAGCTGGTTGTATCTGTTCAGATATTGCCACTAAAATAGGTTTGTTACTCGTCGTGCTCCTTGTAGTCTGCAACCACTGTAATTTTTTTCTTTTTCTGAATTGTGTTTCTCGGTCTTTGATTGCGGTTCTTGGTATTTGTTTAGGTGTTTGAAAATGGAAGTGGAAAAGTCTAAATCAAGGTATGAAAGCAGGGAAGAGAGGGCTGACAACGAGGGGTCGCCTGCTAGAGAATACAGAGATGG